TTCTTGTTAGCTTTCCGAACGAGCGGTAGTTTAAAAAAATGTAATGACTATTCAAAAGTGCTTCAATGTAAGTTTATTTGAATAAATGATTTTCTATTCTATTCTATTCTATTCTATTCTAGACTAACTAATTGTATTGTTACTTCCCTTCGCTGTGAGCCCTTTTGGGAAGAATACACATTTTTACTAGTATTCGATTATTATTAAAATAAGTAGTTGTGTTCCCGCTCACAGTAAGCTATAATTTTAATTAATAATCTATACATATACATATATATATAATTGGAATGTCTGTTTGTAATATTGAAATAACCGTTTTACATGAATATAAGTATGGTACATACACCAAAATAATATTTTTTACAATTTTTGTCTGTCTGTCTGTCGGTCTGTTTGTTCCGGCTAATCTCTGAAATGGCTAGACCCATTATGACGGGAATTTTTTTGGCCGGTAGCTGATTTAATAAGGAGTAACTTAGGCTACTTTTATTTTAGAAAAATAAAGTTAAAGTAATAGATAATATAATAGATGTCGTTCGGAAACTTTTGCGTTTATAATATTAGTATTATAATAAATAAATTAGTAAGATGTAATTATACTCGTTTTCATTCGTTACTCCCGTTTTCTCTAATTTATTCTCGCGCGCTCTATATAACTATTACACTGTAAAGTTCGCCGAAAGCTTTTCCTCGTTCACTGTTCTTCTGTGGAGGCTGATTCTCATGCACGCCACGTTCGGCACGAATTTACAGGCAATTCATTCGATATTGGATTATTAGCGTCGATCTTTTTAAAATTTTCGACTTGGGGCCCCCCGGTGGCAAGCAATCCGGCCTGTCCCCAACACCCGATCCTGCTCGGGAAAATAACGTAGGATGATAGGATTAGACGCATTTCGAATTTTAATTTCATGCCTCTTTATGATTTCGCCGTGTTTTTTTCTTTCCACGTACCTTTTTAATATTTTCCGGTAATCAAAGGCTTCACAGCGATATAATATTTCATGAAAGACAGCGTTTGGAGAATTTGAGTATCTGCAAGTATGTACATTAATTTGGGTCTGTCGAAGTTTCTTGCTTGATTTGCTGTTCGGTTTATAAATCTGAAATGTGATGTGTTTCATAAATAAACTAGTGGCCTGCTCTAGCTTTACCCGGATCAAGGATTTGTTATTTTTTAATACATTAACATACTACCCTATGATTGTCATTTGTTTCATAGAAAATCGTTGCTTTATTAATTACCAAATTTATTGTAGACATAATTTATCTTTGTCACGATTACATTACATATATAAACTGATTTCTTGATTCCTAAGCAAAGCATATTTAAATATTTTAATATTAATATATATATAAACAATATTAATAACATAACATGTCAGGACCATTCAGACAGTGCCATCTAGTCTCATACAACAAACATGATACAAACAATAATACTCATAAATAGAAATGATTGTACCGTGCGAGGAATTGAACCCGCGACCAATAGAAGTAAAGTGTTGTGCTAAACAGCCAGACAGATTGTGTCTTTCTGTCTGTTATAATCTTTCAGAACTAAACAGCTGAAAGATCTTAATCAAATTTATATGAAAATAGATTGTACTACAAGAACGAATTTAGGCTATCTTTTACATCAAAAATAACAAATGAAGTACAAGCAATATCCAGTTATTAGATCCGTCTGTAATACAAATAAATTACTTACTTACTTAATAACTTAATTATTATGAAAGTAATAACTTATTATTGTTAACTTATGAATTAATTATTATTAATAAATAACTTAATTAATAATAATCCAGTTATAAATAAAATTAAAACACACGTTCGTTAGGTAGAATAAATTTGTTTTGTAACAGCTAACATAAATAAATATAGGCTTGGTTCATTTGGCGATTGTTACAGGTCGACGTTGCAAAATGCCAAGCAAATTTTATACCAACTTGGCAGAACTTGTTTAATACGTTTCCCATTTCCTGTGTAAACCCATCGAGGTATTTGGGATATAAATTTTGTTATATTATATGTATTTTCGTGTGTATAATATAAATAATATATAAATAACCCTGGACAATTAACACAGAGCACTTATTTTCTCTTATTAATTGTTTAACCAGTTGTTGTATGTTGAATGTTTTTTCTATTTTATTATTTCATTGAATTAGTGCTAATCGGTGGTTTGTATTCACACACTTAAACTTAAATTGTAAGTAATAATAAATTATTTAAAAGAGCAACACACAAGTTTCTTGCTTGTTCTTCTTGTGATGAGACAGCATTCCGAATGAGCGGTAAATTAAAAAAAAATGTTATGACTATTCAAAAGTGCTTCAATGTCAGTTTATTTGAATAAATGATTTTCTATTTCTATTTCTATTTCAGAGCCCTCTAATTCCGCGACAAGCAGAACTTGTATTATTGGTACTATATAACTGATTTAAATACTTAGATTTTTTTGTAAATACATAGAAACCACGCAGACTGATACAATTTATGATGTTTGCACCGTGCGAGGAATCGAACCCGCGACTACCGGAACTAAAGCGGTGTGCTAAACCGCTAGACCACCGAGGCCGTCATATGTTTCTAAATGTGAAGCAAATTTGTAAGGATTTGTTTAATACCTGAAATGGGAAACATTTTCAGTGTACACACATTGAGGTATTTGGGATGTATGTTTGGTTTATTATAGGTATTTTTCTATGTTTAGAAGGCTTTGTAAATGGAATAAAATGTTTACAGAGATGAGATACTCATATTTACAGAAGGAAGTAGAGAATTGATATCGTGACGTGAAAATAATGTTTAATATATAAAAATAAGAAAATATAATTCTTTCAGAATATATGTACTAATATTATAAAGGCGCAGGTTTGTCTGTCTGTTTGATGTATTTTCACGACTAAATGTCTAAAGAAATTTTAACGTATCACGGGGATAATAACAATTGTTTATCAAAAAGAAATATATTACTATATGTCTATACTAGCTGACACTACAAACGTTGTTTTGCCATATAAATTAAAATCGCTATTAAAAATAGGAGTTGGTGATAGAAGGGTGAAAATTTATCGTTGTATTTTTTAATGACACATTATAAAGAAAATTAAAAAATTTAACCAAAAAATAAAAAATGTATGTTAATAGTGGACAATCCTTATCACTTCGGAGTAAGAAAAATAGGTAGTAATTCTCATCCCTACTGAATATGCCTATAAAATTTCATAAAATCGATCAAGTCATATCGGAGGTGTATGGTAACTAACATTGTGACACGAGAGTTTTATATATGACATTTACTTCTACTATTATTATGTCTTGTCACGAGAAAACTATGTAACAATGATTCAGAACATCTTAGCTCTTTTTATTAAGGTGTTTGAGCTATTACTCTGTGCACTGTGCACTGTGGGACTTGTAGAGATTCTAGTATCTCGCCTTTTTTTTTAGAGTTCGCTACGTAGGTCCGTCAGGGACAAGAATTGAAGGACATTGTAATGATGGTTTTTATCTATTCATGATAGAGCGTTATCAGCGAGACGTCTTAACTTGATGGCTTAAAACTGACTTAGACTTAAAAGTGAGTTCAAAACTGGCCAACAATAAAACTCTTTGAACTTCAATTTATATTTCTAACTCATTAACCGGTGATGGAAACATCAATACTAACTAAATTCATTCAAGTGACAGCTATTAGACTGTAATTTCTCTGCTCTATCTCAGCGTATAACCAAAATATAGTTAACAAAGCAAGCTGCTTGGCGGCTGAATAGGTGACGAAGACGCCTTCACTTAGTTCCGAGTCTACTTCTGTGATAATGATAAATCAGCAAATAATCTAGAACTTGGTGTCCTTGATATATTTAAAAGTCCTCGATTTTTTCCGATAAAGCAAGGTTACGTTCGAGCACAGCCATTTAGGGATGTGAAAAAATCGATAATTGTAAATCGATATTTACAATTATCGATTTGTATTATAATTGAAAAATCTATTTTTGTTCAACAAAAATCTATTATTTAATGATTATTTTCGTCGTATTAAGTGGTCTAGAAAACAAACTAAAGTGTAGACAAATCCGTCAACAAACTAGAAAAGTGACTTTACAACCTAAAAATCAAGTACAGTCACTGACCATGCAGCCCAAAATATCGATATTTTGAAATCGATTTAGCTAACAATCGATTAAAATTCTACTTTTACGCAGAATATCACATTCCTGTATCCACTTGCATCACTTATTTTTACGTGTAGATATCTCGCGTCATGACTTAGCCAATATTTACTCTATTGTCGTTATCTCTGAGATATGGTGTTTACGATATTATTACGTACAGTAACACAAAAAACTGTTTTTTAATTACATTTTAATGGATTTGCCTCAAACGTTTCAATTTTGCAATTAATAACATTAAATTTCTTTTATTTGACCTATTACCACTAACAAACAGGATAATAAAAAAGATTAAAAAATAAAAAAGATGAATTTTAAACACAAACACAAATAATTATCAATTTAAAGAATACCAGAACCTTGTGTATTAATGCAATTAAAGAAAAATTATTAGACATATATACAGTTAACATAAGTATCTTATTTATTTCTCACTGCATTTTATATAAACTTCTGATCAATCAACGAATAGCCAAAAACATGGCAACAAAACAGTATTTCATTAAAAAAGAGTAGGAAATAATTTTCTAAAGAATATCATCGTTTATCCTAACTATTGTATTCTTTAGAACGTGAATTTTCTAGACCGTGGTAAACTGCTAACATAATATGTTCAGATATCATACACAAATACATATATTTTACAATACTGCTTTCGTAATTACTTCAACTCTTATATTATATTCTTTAATTCTTTTTAACTATTTTTCACATCACTTTGATTCCACATGAAAAGTATCAAAAACTTTATCTCGCAACTGTACTGTAACGTAAAGAATAGATATTTTAACTACGTTGTCTTCTGAAGTTCTTGTAGTTAGTGCCACTGTCTCGTTATTTTTGTTACTTTGTACAAAATATATTCAACATTCAAGAAATGAAATTTCCATACACGTGTTATGTGCTTATAATCTTTATGAGTGGAATCAATAATAGATATATTGGAGAGACGACACCTATTAAGAAAATCGAAGAGGATAATGTTGTTTTAAGGAAATTACTGCAAAGTGTACAAACTGACGTAAAAGAAGATTCAAAAGCATGGAACGACGTGCTTGCTAAGGTATTTGTAGATTCAATAAAATCAGTATTCTCTAGTAACAATGAAAGTAGAGAGAAAATAACTGATAGCTCCGAAAATGGATATTTTACAAAGTGGATCAGTAAAAGTTTGTTGTTTTTCAAGAATATTTTCTATGGGACATCAACAACGAATGATGTTAAACCTACAAATCCTACAAAACCTACAACTCAATTGGAAACATTAGGTGAAAACTACAATCGAGCTGATTCTAAGGAAGTAACAGATACCGATGTAATCAATACAAATGATGATGTAGAAGTGTTTGAACCAAAATACCATGGAAAAAGGTGTGCTGGCTGCAATGAAACGAGTGATAGTAATTGTCCAGAAGGGCTAGTAAAGGATAACAATGGTGAATGTGTTCTAAAAGTTGATGAAAAATTAATAATAGCTATTCCCGGACAGTGTCCAAAGGGTTACAGGAGAGACAAATTAAATTATTGTAGATTACAATTTGGATGAAATAAGTTAATGTTTTAGAACGTTATCTAAAACAGATCAATTTTGATACTTTATTTCGGCTATTTAAAACTTCCTATTCCTAGTAGGGTAAACTGAAATGAAATGAAATTATTTCAAAATGATAACAAATTCATGACTTTGTTTTTGATTTTCCTTATTATTTTATTATGTCTTTTCTATTACAAAATATTTTTTAAAGTATTTATGTCGATCATTTGTTTCTAAATCACGTAGATTAGTTCTATTATAGTCAAATATGTCATAAGTTTTGTAAATTTTTGTTTATAATATAAACTGTACTAAATATTAAGAACTATATCGAATGTTACTATTAAAACACAATACTAAATTATTAAATGCATTTAATTAAAACATATTAATAACATTTATTAATTTATTATTATTAACAACTCGTCAAAAATTTACAAATAATATCAAGAAATTATACAATCATTTACACTTATCTTTCCAGTATACTCAGAATTACTTTTTAACAAATTTAAATAAATTCAACATACACGTAATTATCATTCTTAATTCAACATATGCATTGCTGTATATGTTTTTAAATATTGTAGATATAAGTAATTATTCATTAAATAATACGTATTATATGTATATACGTGTGATCGCATATATATTTAGTCAGACTCAAAGTATCTTTTCTTTTGTGTAGTTAATTTTGATAATGCACATGAATCTCTCTTTGCTCTATGGTTAACTTAAGAAAATGCCCCAAAGTGTTAACTGTTAAGCGCAGAGTGCACTTGGCGGCGCTTATTTGTGTATTTGAGCATTGATTTTTTAATTATCTATTCATGATAGAGCGTCCTCAGCGAGACGTCTTAACTTGATGGCTTAAAACCTGACTTAGACTTAAAAGTGAGTTCAAAACTGACCAACACTAAAACTCTTTGAACTTCAATTTATATTTCTAACTCATTAACCTGTGATGTAAACATCAATAATTTACTAAATTCATTCAAGAGATAGCTATTAGACTATAATTTCTGTGCTATATGTCACCCTATAACCAAAATATAGTTTACAAAGCAAGGTGCTTGGCGACTAAATAGGTGATAGTATTACGCAGTACAGTACGTAAGTATTACGTTTTATATTTAATCAGATTCAAAGGTTTTTCTACGTAGTTAATTTTGATAATGCACATGGATCTCTCTTTGATCTATGGTTAACTGGAGATGCCCCAAAGTGTTAACTGTTATGTCCGCCAAGTGCAGACTTATTTGTGTATTTGAGCATTGACTTTTTAACATATATATTTATAATATGCATATTCAATGCTATGTCTCAATCGAGTATCTGCATTTCCCAAAGATTAACTGGTAGTTGCCGTATCGCTTGAGATGGTAATATTGTTCAATATAAATGGCGAAATAAATAAATAATTTTAGAAAATTTCTGTCCTAAAATATCCTGATGCGATAGATTCCCAGGAGATCATTATCCGAAAGCCAATGTTATGGAGGCAAAATTTTGAAAAGAAATATTTGTAGAAGATACCTTTATAAAAGACTGTTGTCAAAAAAACTTGTTTAAAAACATCCGTGCTGGCGGGTTCATTTCTCACGAGTTTTAAACATAAATATTCAATCAACGCGTACTCGATATCGAGAAGTCAAGGCTTAGAAATACCTAGAGGAAGTAATTTCGATCAGAGTTTCGACAAACAAGTCTTTTACAGCGAACAGACAATCGACCGAGTCAATTTCACGGTTTTCCGACCGCCAAAAGAAAGAACGGATATGAAGGTATCTGGGATCAAAGCTGGTAACACGATCGCCACAAATTGACTGCCTTGGTCTCCGCTGCGAAATATTGAATTGATTTACTGAGTAAGGTAAAGGCATTCCTTTTTTAGATATATTTGTTTATTTGATATGTGTTTTGTTCCGTGAAAATGATAGATATATATATATATATATTATCGAATTAGGTTTTATTTTGAGAGAGTCCATTTCTTTTTTTTAATAATAATAAATGTAAATATTACAATATTAATTAAAACTAATAATTATAAACTGTATAATATTAATTTGAAAAGAATACCAGTTGAATTTCTTGTCAGTTCTTCTTATCTCGAAATCATTCCGAACTGACGGTAGATTTGACATATCATAAGATATGGTGATGTACTATTGAAATAACCGTTTTTTACTACATGCATATGAATATAAATACGGTACACCAAAATTACATTTTTTTACAATTTTTATCGGTATGTCTGTCTGTCTGTTTGTTTCCGCTAATCTCTGAAATGGCTGGACCGATTTTCACGAGACTTTTATTGGCAGGCAGCTGATGTAATAAGGAGTAACTTAGAATACTTTTATTTTAGAAAAATTATCTAATTAACTTTTATATTAAATTCCACGCGGACGAAGTCGCGAGTACAGCTAGTACTAAATATAAAAGGCAGCAACCTTATAGGTACTAATATCTAAAATCGTATACCTAACCTATGTATAACGAAAATCATTGAAGTGAATGGGTATGTGAAGTTTTGATAATTTTGCCCTTAGCGACCGCGTGCAGCGGTACGTGAGACAACTTGTAATTACCCAGCATCCCAAGGTATTAAACTTGTCAAGTTGCTGTAATACGCCACCTGCCTTCTTGCAAACTGTAGAATGACTAATAAGATTGATAACAAAAATAATGCGCTGACAGATCGCAGGCACAATCTTTTATAAAGAAAATTGTAAAAATTATTATATTATAACTAACTTTCGTGGCACAGGTTCACTTATATCGAAAGCCAGGGCTAACTATATTTAATTGTACCGTACCTTTATGAATAGAATAGAATAGAAAATCATTTATTCAAATAAACTTGAATAGTCAACATTTTTTTAAATCTACCGCTTATTCGGAAAGCTGTCTCATCACAAGAAGAATAAGCAAGAAAGTTATGTGTTGCTCTTTTAAACAATCCTTATAAGTTCATATTTTACAAGTCGAAACGTGTGAATACAAACTACCAATCAGCACTAATTTATTTAGGCTCAAATATAAAAACACAATATGATTATTATTTTAAAAAGAGTATTTAATATTAACAAAAAAATTATAGTGTGTGGTGATTTCAATGTTGACATTTTATCACATAATACCACAAAAACTAAATTAATGAGTTTATTTCAATCCTTTGACTTGAGTAATGTCTTCCACGAACCCACTCGTATCACTGCCACGTCTGCTACTTGCTTGGATAACATATTTAGCAACAGTGAGTATTTAGATAAAATAATAATAAACAACCTTCCTTCTGATCACTGTGGTCAAATAGTTATTTTTCCAAATCACTTAAACAAAATTGGGAAAATTAATTTATTAAAAAGAGACTTGACTAGTTATAAGATAAACAAATTTAAAATATCAGTTCGTAGTAAATTAGATTTTTATCTTCCATCTAATGAACCTAACAAACTTTATACAAATTTCTTCAATATTGTTTCTAACGAATATAATAAGGCTTTTAACAAAAAAACTATCAGTATTATTAACAAAACAAAATTTTCAGAATGGGCTACAAAGGGAATTCTTAAAAGTAGAAATATATTATTTGATTTATATGCTCAAAAAAAATACCGTTTCGATAGTACATTCGTAAATTATGTAAAAAGATACTCAAAAACTTTTAAAAAGGTATGTAATGTAGCAAAGTCTAATTATCTAAATAAAAAAATTAAAGAGTCCAAGGATAAGATAAGGACAGTGTGGAATATTATTAACAAAGAAACTGGCAAAGTTAAAAGTCCATATAACGATTTTACGTTAAATTATAATGATAAACTAGTAACGTCCACAAAAGAAATAGTCAATATTTTTGAAAATTTTTTCGCTAATATTCCAACTGATATTACTTCCTCTTTGGACTCTTCTCCTAGTACAGCTAAATCATTCCTTATTGACAATGTTGTTTCTTGTCCGGTTACATTTAAATTTACATTTATTGACATTGCTACAATTACTAAAACATTTAAACAATTAAATTTAAAAAATACTGAAGACCATTGGGGCATGTCTGTTAAAGTTATTAACACCGCTATAGATGTTATTGCTCCATATTTAGTAATTATTTTCAATAAATGTATTTCTGATGGTGTTTTTCCCAATTTAATGAAACATAGCAAAATAACTCCACTCTTTAAGTCAGGAGAAAAAACTGTGGTAGGTAATTATAGGCCTATATCTATCTTACCAGTATTGAGTAAAGTGTTTGAAAAAATTATGTTCAATCAAATGCTGCAACACTTTAAAGTAAATAAACTGCTTCACAGTCGACAATTTGGTTTCACGGCCGGTAAATCAACTACTGATGCAGGTGTAGCTCTCATTAAATATGTATTTGATTCTTGGGAGAGGTCTCAGGATGCAGTCGGTGTATTTTGTGATCTTTCAAAAGCATTTGATTGCGTTGAACATGAAACACTTTTGCTCAAACTTGAACATTACGGTATAAGATATGAAGCACAAAGCATGATGAAATCCTATCTAAATAATAGAATGCAAGTTGTCGAAATAAATGGTGTAAAGTCTGAGGGAACTAGTATTAAAATGGGTGTTCCTCAGGGTTCTATTTTAGGTCCTTTCTTATTTTTAGTTTACATAAATGATCTTCCTTATATGGTAGAAAAGATAGCTGACATAGTTCTGTTTGCTGATGATACTTCATTAGTATTCAAAGTCAATCGACATATTGATGATTTGGACGAAGTAAACGGTGCTCTTTCTTATGTTTTAAAATGGTTTACGGCTAATAATATGTTACTAAATGCAAATAAAACTAAATGTATCAACTTTACTCTCCCCAATGTAAGGCCGGTAGATTCAAAAATCACGTTGGACAATAAACCTATTAATTTTGTGGATGATACTGTATTTCTAGGTTCACATTGGATTCCAAGTTGCAATGGGGCGCTCATATTACTAAATTAGCGAGTCGACTTAGTTCCGCCGCTTATGCGGTAAGAAGAATTAAACAATTAACAGACGTGGCAACGGCTAAACTTGTGTACTTTAGCTATTTCCATAGCATTATGTCGTATGGTATTTTGTTATGGGGCAAAGCAGCTGATATAAATACAATATTTATTTTACAAAAGAGGGCCATTCGCTCCATTTATAGCATGGGTTCCAGGAGTCTTTGCGAGAGTGCTTTAAGGAATCAAATATCCTCACCGTTGCTTCTCAATATATTTATG